CCAGTCCCATCTCTACCTCCAAAGCCACTTACAGAAATGGCTCAATATCTACATGCTCTTTCAATCAGGTGCCACTGTGGTATCATAAAGGCAAAAGTGAACGTAAAGGGGCCATCGGGTTAAAATGTCATAAAAGTTGGGTTGGGATTCCAAAATAATTTCAGGATATGGCCAAAGCCATCGTCTAGTATGACAACCATCAAGGCAAATATGAATGTTAGATTTCATGGCAGATGCCCAAGATAAAAGCCAGCAGAAGAGAAAGGACATGAGAGTTTTCAAACATAGTCCATGGTCATCTCCTTGGCCAGTGGTGTTCCCATCAGTTCCTTTTGCAAATCCAAGGGCCTTGTCCCCATGGGTGTGGGTCTTCAGGTCTTTCCCTGGAGGGTGAACCCAGGAGGACTATTATCCATGGGGAATTTGTACTGAGGTGAGGGTCCTGGGGGCAGGTTGGGCTAGGAGGAGACTGACCTAGGACAGCCTCCAACAGCATCACTATGGAAAGACTCCTAATCAGAGTCAAGAAGCGAACGAAGCTCAGTGCCAAGGATCTGAGCCTACATGGGTGTGAGCAAACAGACTCCCAAAGCCAGGAACTGGAGCAGGTTGGGATGCTACACATGTAATGGGCTGAGGCAAGGAGCTCAGGCCAAGGCTGTAAAGCGAAGGGAGTGCCAGATGGTGGCAGTGTTTGGGGCTGGCTGTGGCTTACAGGGGATGGCTTTAAGGGCTAGCAGCCAGCCAGCAACCATCCCTACATTGTAATCGTGTGGCTTTCTGACAGACCAAGCAAAGGGCTGGAGCTGAGCAGCTGAAGGCATCCTCCACTCAAATCAGCAAATTGTCTCTTGAGGAAACAGACCAGGCAACTTGTACAATGAAGAGGCAATTAGGGAAGCTGCCTTCCCCTGAGAGAGTCACCATGCTGGAGATATAATCTACGCCCCTTCAGCACATACAGCTCTGCTCTGCAGAACCAGAGATAAATAGCAAAGGCCACTGGGCTTCAGCTTCATCTATTACTATTATTCAGAAATAGCACTGCGGAGCTTTCTCAAAGTCAGCCACATGATGTAGGCAGCCAATGCTGCAAGATGATTGATGGGACCTGAGAGGAGATATTTCTGGTGACCGCTATTATCCAGACACAGTCAGAGAACACTACAGGACAAGGGCAGCATGTAGCTTTATTTGGCCATGAACTTAATAAACCTAGGAGGAGGGCAAAGTGGAAAGAAGAACATGTCCAAACAAAGGTTTACTAGGCTCAAGGAAAAGGGACCACATCCCCCAGAGATGTGAGTGGCATGAGTGAAAATCTGGGAGCCATCGCTGGCTCCAGAGAAGAGAGAGAAGGGGGCCAGGCAAGAACTCCCAGGTACACATTAGGTGTATTAGGTGGAGGCCCAGCCCCAGCCGTTCACAACTTGAACAAGTGCATCCACGGCCCTCTCCCTGAGGAGTTTACAATCTAGCTGGTCAGAAAAAATAGACAAAAGTACACAGAGATCCAGGCAAAGAACTTAAAATTCTGTATCTACCATGTGTCCTAGTGGAATGTTTGTCTCAATGGATAGATCATATTGTACCCAAGACCCATGTGGAGAAGGCTCTGGAAGGAGGTGCTCCAGAAGGGAAGAGTCATATGTACACTAAGTCAGATCTCTTTCTGAGAGTCACCATTTCTTTGGGGTTACCTATTGTGATTCCTACTCTCCCAGTTAAATAAAACTTTCTTGAAAAAATGAAGAGAGTCTGTCCCCTCACACTCTGTAGTGGCTGGTGAGGCACGCATGCCCACAGCCTAGGCAAAAGGGAGGAAGGCTAATTTGCTATATTCTAGCACTGATCTGATGCGCTAATAGTCCTTCATGGGCCAAAATTGGTTTATATGGCTTCTCAAACCCCCACCTTCACTCACTGACCATGAGCTCCTTGAGGACTTAGGACTAGGCATATGTAACCAAGACAATGGCCCAGTGCCTGGCTTATAGCGTGCTCTATGAAGAAACCACCTGATTTTGGTCATTATAAGCTGGATTCCTAGACTGTTCTCAAGGCAGACATACCAACCCAGATGATCAGGCTTCAAATAGGCAAAACAGCAGTGTTCCATGCACAAATTTACATTCTAATCACTAAGTCTGCCATTTTTGACCTCATGGCGAGGCACTGAGATATCAATCCAGATTTTTAGGAGGAAGACGTCTTTAATGTAAAACAGCCCTGGTACCACAGGACGAAGGTGAAACCATCATTTTTTCCCCAAATGCTACCAACAGCCCTCACTCCCTGGCTCAGGCATGGGCAGTAAGGTTGGCAGTTCTCTGGCCCCTGCTCACCCTCTCCCAGCTGCTGGCTCATGGGGGCGGAGCCAGAATGCTCTTCTCCCAAGCTCCCAGGGCCAGCAGCCTTGCCTCCTGGGAACACAGCTTAGTCAGCCTCTGGGTTCCTGGAGCTTGGGTTCCTCAAAGGCAGTCGGTAGCCCTGACTTCCCCAGGGCAGCCTCAGCAGCTCACAGGGCCACTGTAGCTCCTGCTTTCTGCATAGTCTGGTCCGGCTACAGGGCAAGGCCTAGAAAAAGCTCTGACACCACCTGGCCACAGTCCTGGGCCTCGTCAGCCTTCCATCTCTACCTTGGCTTGGCCTTTATGTGCTTGACAAGGTCCTCTGGGGGCCCCTGGCACCTGCCAGAGTGAGGCTCCTGTTCTCTCTCTGCCCATCCCCACTCCTGCTATCTGCTCTCCCTGTCCCCAGAGGCAGCTTCACGCAGGACTCCCAGATCTCAGCCAGTCACCCTCCCTGTGCCTGGAATTTTATTCTGCGGTGCCACGGGTTCCAGCTTTGTCTCTAAATCACGGTGCGACCTTGCACAAGAACACCTCCCCCCTCCGGGCCTCAGGTCCTCATCCAAAACATAAGGGTTCCTGATGACGTCCTGGTGTCTCCTGCTCTGTGTGTCTCTGGTTACTGCCATCTGATGAGTATTCACTCTTTCCTTGCCTGGCATTGTCTCTGTCCCTCCTGCAAACAAGGACTAACACACACTGGCAAGTACACAGCTAACCTTTGAACTCTACCAGAGCAAGGAGACGTTAAACCAAACCACCCTGCATCGAAGCCCTGTTAGCTAGTACACTGTGCAGTGTGCTGGGCAACCCCATCCACACCCCACCTCACCTCAGGAGGCTGAGTTATGGGGCAGACATCAGGCAGCAACCTTATCCCGACAGTGGGAGATCAGAGGGCAGGGGTTAATTCCCCTTCGCACCTCCCTGTGGGGTTGATGCCCCCAGTCACCAAAAGGCCAGCTCCTATCATGGGCCCTTCAGCTCTATCTGGTTTCAGCTGCCTTGTGTCTTCCACCTTTTCTGAATGGGGTGGGAGGGATTCCCACTGTTCCCAGCCCCGTGGCCTTGCACCAGCCCCGTGGCTTCCCCATACTCTGCTCCCACCTCCGTAAATTGCCCCTAGGATTAAACTCTCCTCCAATGATCCAGTCTGATGGTGTCACCTGCTTCCTGCCAGGGCCCTGCCATCTGAGCCTGCAGTCGGGGGGCTGAAGATCCGTATGGAAAGCGGAGGATGGAGAAGTGAGTTCAGAAGTGAACTGAAGAAAGTCCTAACTCAAACCTTCACCTCCATTAGATTCAAACAATACAGACCACAGATGAAAGAAAGAGGCCATCCGTGGTATTTTTACATATCTTCAACGAGGACTCGCTGGCCCTGTAGCATTAATTTCCATTTACCAAGCTTTGTTCCCTAAAACTTTTCCCAGGTCACCCTCCTCTGCAGTTTTCAACGACACACACAGTTCATGTTTTGCTTTGTTGTGGACAGTGTGCCCACGGAGCGGCATTCTCCCGCAGGTCTAAGTGATCCCTCACTGGCTGTCTAATTGCAGAGCTGGTGGTTCCTGGTGCCTGTCTTAGCCCCGCTCCAGGAATGCAGCAGTGCTCGGTGGGGGTTTCAGATGCAAGGGCCCGAGTGACCCTTATTTAGCCGGGGCGTCTGCCATGGCTGGGTCGGTATCTATCAAGCCCTCCCCCATATACCCAGCAATTGTGCAGCGGGCACGCTCTTCGGTAGCTTCCAGCCAGGACGGGTTGGAAGTGGCAGAGCCCTCCAGTTAGCTCAGTCTATCCCTCCCCGCAGAACCCTGCCTGCGGTGGGGGGCTTGGGCTTTTGTTTTTTGGTCTCACTTTCCTTCATCTCTCCCAAGGTCATGCTGCCAAAACCTCTTCACCCGCTCTGTCTCTCTCTCTCTTTTTTTAAAGATTTTATTTATTTATTTGAGAGAGAGAATGAGATAGAGAGAGCATGAGAGGGGGGAGGGTCAGAGGGAGAAGCAGACTTCCTGCTGAGCAGGGAGCCCGATGCGGGACTCGACCCCGGGACTCCAGGATCATGACCTGAGCCGAAGGCAGTCGCTTAACCCACTGAGCCACCCAGGCGCCCCACCCACTCTGTCTCTTGCCTTATTCCCTTTTCTTTGTCCCAATTTCTGGTTCCTTCTTTTTCCTGATATCTAGCCACAAGGAGTGACTTGAATATACTAGAAGTGAAGTCCCTGAAACAGAGGGAAAGGCTTATAGAAATACAACTTTGCTTCGTTGAATTTCATGGAAGACACGTTTCTGTCTTTCTCTTTAGTCCTTGCTGAATCAAGCACGGCTCTGGGCTCCCACCGGGAACTCAATCCCTTCTAATTGAGACACTGATGCAGAGGGGGCGCCAACCATGCTGGTTTGCTCAGAGGGGTCCCGGTTTGGTGTGGAAAATCCTGTAGGCCCAGGTATACTGGGAGGGCTGCTTGTCCTTCTCTAGCAAACTTCTGACCCACTCGGCCTGGTGGCGCAGCCGCATCTCACACATTTTGGCAGTCTTAGATCAGGTTCTCGAAGAACTTAGATCAGTTCTTGAGGAAGTGGTTTAACTGAGGGCGAGCTCTCGAGTAACCCTTTAGGGGAGGAGAGAAGTAGGTGAGGGCAGGGAAGGCAGCAGGGCAAAGCTATGAGCTCAGCCGACATCGAGCTCTGCTCCACAGGAAGTGTGGCTGGAATCTCAGGCTTATCCCATCTTGGAGCAAGGGGTGAGTTTTTATTTTATTTATTTATCTATTAAGGATTTTATTGATTTATTTGAGAGTGTGCGCACATGAGAGAGAGAGAGCACAAGGCGGGGGGGGGGGGAGCAGCAGAGGGAGAGGGAGAAGCAGGCTCCCCGCTGAGCAGGGAGTCCAATGCGGGGCTCGATCCCAGGACCCTGAGATCATGACCTGAGCTGAAGGCAGACGCTTAACCGATGGAGCCACCCAGGTGCCCAAGGGGTAGGCTTTTAAACACCGATATCAGGGAACCTGGGTGGCTCCCGTGGTTAAGCGTTTGTCTTTGGCTCAAGTCATGTCCTGGGATCAAGTCCCGCATGGGGCTCCTTGCTCAGCAGGGAGCCTGCTTCTCCCTCTGCCTGCCGCTCCCCCTGCTTGTGCTCTCTCTCTCTGTCAAATAAATGAATAAAATCTTTAAAAAATATCAGTCAGCCGCTAGTTCTGGGCCATCCCCGCAGGAGGGGTCTAATGTCCTGGGCATTTCTGGGTGAGGCAGCTCTCACCACAGAGGGCGGTTCCACAGAGTGGGGTGCAGCCCTGAGCTGCTGGCCTCTGGCATGCACAGCCCCTGGGGGACAGGTGGACTGGCCCAGTGAAAGGAACTGGCGTGGGGCACCCATTAGTGTCTATAACACTCAGACTCCCCCTGGTTTCTGGGGAGCCAAGGGAATGACCCCAGCACCTGTTGCCAGTCAGCCTGCACCTTCCTTCCCACTTCCCTGAAGCACACTCAGACCTTACAAGTGTGATTCTACCCGAGTTTTCCATTGTGCCTTCTTAGAACTGCCCTGAGACCCTTCTTGGCTAAGGCCTGACCCCTACTAGAATTTGCCAGTTTTCTCCAGAAACTGCACCTTGCACTTATTCTCCCACAGCTGCCTGGATTGGGCTTTGAAACCGCTGAAGCTGGAGATCTCTGATCCCTGACCCAGCCTGAGTAAATGTGTATAACCCCAAGTCACAGCTTCCTGCAGGAGCTCTGTCAGATGGACCCACTAGACAAAAACACAGAGAGAATGTAGCCCCAGGTCTCGAGGCACTGCAGGCTCTGCCTGTGGGCATCAGGTGGACCTCATGGGGCAGGAGGTGTTCTAACCCTGGTTTGGCCTGACTAGAGTGATAGTCTCAGTCTGCTGCAGAGGGTCTGGCATGCCTGGCAACTTGGCCTGCAGAGATTTGGACAGAGTCAATATCACAGGCTTTTGGAAATGCAGTTTTTAAAAGTATCCAAAACATGTGCCTCCTGAACCTCGTGGTAGATGCTATGGATGCCTCACCCATGTCCTTGGTGCCTCATCCTTTCAAAGTGCCCCTCTCTCCACCACCACAATTAATTTCCAGAACATCTGCCCAAGGGCTTTATTCAAAGCCACAGAGGACTACCCTTCCCCAGCACATGTCAGTCTGGAGTGCTAGAAATTAACACCCCCCGAGAGCAGCTCTGAACCGATGATTAAAGGGAACCCCAGCTCCCTCACCTCTCAGGTGTGATCATTCTGACGCATGTATTTTACATCATTTCCCAGAGTTTCCCTGTAGGTTTAAGCTCCACCTGCCCGCAGTGGTGCCTGACCTGATAACACACTCTTACTGGCTGTTTCCCTACCTTGCCTAACTCCCCACCCTATGGGTCTATCTTGAACTTCCTAGATAAACTACTTGCTCTTGAATCCATGTTTCAGAGTCTATTTCTGGGGGAATAAACCCCTTCAAGACAAAGCTGGAGAAGCCAGATCCAGACCTGCCATACATGGGTTAGGCCCTCTATAGGATACCACGACATCTCTGAGCCCAAGGGTCAGGATCCCTGTGGGAGCTCTTTCCACACCAGACCCTCCTGTACTGAGCGGCCCTGAAGAAGGAGGCAGCAGCCTGGTCAAACATCCTTCTAGAGTTCCCATGCCCCATTAGGATTCAGAGGCACTCTTCATGTTCTCTAGAGGCCTTCTGATCCTGGGAGGTGATTCTAATTAGGATTCGATCATCCTAGAGATGACTCCTTGTGCATGTTCATCCTTCCCAGGCTCCCTCAGGCCCCGTAACAACATTAGACTGCAATTTCAGGTTGATATAATTTGGTGCTTACTGCACCTTACTACTAGCCCAGACCACTCCTTCCCAGGATGCCCCACACTGGGTATGTGGCAGCACCCAGGGCTCAGCATGGGAGCATCGCAGTGCAGGGGATGTCCACGGAGGATGACTACTGCAGGGGTCCAGGCCCCTGGTCTTCGAAGCCTTGCTATATAGGCCCAAGTATCCTGCCATTCATCAAGTGAATGATCAGGGGGAGTTGGCTCTACCACCAAGCCAGGTTGGCTGGTCTTGACCCCCTGGACACAACCCCTGCTCAGCAGTGCCTATATGTTCCAACAGCTGCTTGACATCTCCCCTAGATATCTCGCAAGCATCTCACATCCATCACATCCAAAACTTCACTCTGGTCTTACTCCCTAACCTGTTCTTCCCCCAACTCTGTGCCTCCCATCCCAGGAAATGGCACTGTCACTCACCCCACTACTCCAGCCAGGAACCTGGGTTTCATCTCCAGTTCTTTCCTTTTCTTTCCCCTACATCCAATCACCAGCAAATCCAAATGGATTTGGTCCACTTGGAGGTCCAGTTGCTCCTCCCTCTCTACAGCCACCATAGTCCACACACCATCACTTTTTTTTTTTGGTTTCATCATCATTCATTTCTTTTTTTTTTCCATTTTTTGTTATGTTAATCACCATACATTACATCATTAGTTTTTGATGTAGTGTAACATGATTCATTATTTCTGCATAACACACAGTGCTCCATGCAGAATGTGCCCTCTTTAATACCC